CTGGCCGCTCGAAGAGCTTCGACCAAAAGTAGAGCCATTCCCCAGACCTCGCCATAAAGTAGACCAGGCCGCCGCAAAGTACAACAGACCGCTCCCAGAACAAGACCAAACCACCCATGAACGGATGCCAGGCCATCGAGACGTTGACCAGACCTCGAATGACCCAGACATGACACGGGATGCCAGACCGACACACTTCACACCTAAGTGCACCAAATATATACGCAAAGCCGCACACAAGCGTAATCCATATTATCCTAAAACAAACCAGGCGCAGCTGACACGTAGGCCAGACCACCCATCTACGGAGGCCAAGCCGTCCGGACATAGACCAGAAACTTCGCCCGAAAGCGTGACATGCCTGCCTAAAAGTAAACAAACTCCAAAGTGGACAAGCCCACCCCCGACAGAAGGCCAGACCGCTGCGTAACGGATGCCAGACATGTCCAACCAAGTAGAGTTACTCACCGAAACGTAGACCGAACAGAAAAGTAAACCAGACAGCTACCACACATGAACCAGAACGACCGTGATTGGAGGCCAAACGACCCAAAACTAGAGGTGCCACCGTCCAAGGGGGGGACCGTACTCTTTTTTTCAAGTAGACAAGGCCACCCCAAAACAAACCAGACCCCGCCCCAAAAGTATACCAGACCACTGACAACGACAGCGGCGACGGCGGCGAAGGCAGCGACGACGGCGACGGAGATGACGACGACAACGATGGTGACAGCGGCGGCGGCGACAGCGTGCGACGACGGCGACGGCGACGACGTTCATTGTAATGGTTTTGACCTTGGTGGACCGGGCAGTCTCCTTCTACTTGGCCCCTTTCCCATGCTACCTTCTCCCTCTCCGCCTCCCTCTCCCTCCCTCCCTCCCTCCTCCTGCTCCTTTCCTCGCCCAGCTTTGGCTCGAGAGTTCCGCGTAGTTTACTCAGGCGTGACGCCCTCACTTGTGACTTCCGTCCAACATGTCCAGGAGCCGTGCTCTTGCCTGGGCGCTGGCCACCTGCCCCCAATGTCGCCCAGATCGCCACCCTCCTTGTCGTAATTCGTACGTCTTCCTCGGTGCCCAGACCCCAACAAGCGTAAGTCTTTTGGTCCTGATCCCTCCTCCTTCCACCCTTATTCTCCCACTCGGAGCCCATAGGTGCGAGGATGTCTCGACAGCATTTCGGAGCCCAGAGCTGCGATCTCTCAGGCGAAGTGGGCCAGACCACCTCGCTTGAGCATCTCGGAGTCGAGATTTGCGAAGATGTTTGTGGCGACGCGGACTGGACTTTTGTCGTGCGGCATCTCAGAGCCCATAGTTGGGCGGACGTCTCAGGCGAAGCGGGCCAGACAACGTCGCATGCGGCATCTCGTATCCCAGATGTTCGAGGATTTCTTGGACGAGACGGGCCAGATCACCTTGCGCACGACATCTCGGAATTCAGAATTGCGACGATGGTTCAAGCGAATTGAGCCAGACCGATTCAGGTCAGCGCATCTCGAAGCCCAGAGTTGCGAGGATGTCTCTGGCGAATCGGGTCAGACCACCCCGGAAGTTTGAGGATGCCTCTGCTCCCTGATCCCTCGGCTGGAAAGAGTCAGCGTAGCTGCTTGGATACAAGCTGATCGGGAGTGGCGGACTCTGGTTACAATTATTTATGGGCACATCAAGGGGACTGTAGCATCCGCCATAGGATGCCCCCATGGGCAGTGAAGGTTTCTTGGGTGACGGTTGAGGATTGCAGTCATGGAGCCTGCGGCTCCTGGGAGCTCAGCGCGATCTGGCCAGCTGGATAATCATGCGTTCCAATGTCCGTACGCGCGGCCTCGGTCGTTTCGATCATCCAATTTGTTCCTGCGCTTCTTTCCCCGTTCACTACGGGAAGACGAGAATCGAGGAGCTGGCCGTGACAGTTTGTAAGTCAGCACGCTGGTTTTGGTATCATCTGGCATGGAAGAGACTTTGACAAAAGGCGTGTACCAGCTGGAGAGAAGCAGAGAGGGAGAGGGGGATGAATGGAGATATGGAGGGAGGGAGGGAGGGAGGGAGGGAGGGAGGGAGTATATATATCTGTATATATATACATATATATATAGAAATAGAGAGAGAGAGAGAGAGAGAAAGAGAGAGAGAGAGAGAGAGATGGAGAGATAGAGAGAGAGAGAGAGAGAGAGAACGAGGGTCTCGTATCCTTCTGGCTCTAGGGCGCTTTGCTCTGCTTGTCGCTGGCTCGGCGCTCCCGTCCACGGGAGCCATCTCGCACGCCGACCCCCCCGCGACCCAATAGCGACATGCCCGCGACCCACCCGCGACCCATCTGCGACGCACCCGCGACCCACCCGCGACTTACCCACATGGGTTGACGAGAAGATCGGCGCTTGCGGCGGGCTCGTATAATTTGTAAGATTGTGGCGCCTGCGGCGGGCTTCTCCAGAGTTTCGCAAACTGCCGACGTCCCCACCGCACCTTCACTCTCATCCGCATCCGCGGGGTGCTACGGAATGTACATGTACAATATACATACAACTATTGTTCACCTGTTACCAGAGATCCTAGCACGCCTCTGGCCCGTTGCGTGGACGTTGTTTTGTTTTGTTTGTATTCCCTACCTAGGCTCTGCCTAGAAGGGTTCTTACTTTCTTTGCTTGAAGCCGGGCAGTGGAACCCGCCCCGGGCGGTTCCCCCGGTCCCTTGGGAGCCCAGCAAAAGCAACATCAAATGTAAAAGCTAACGCGCGGTTCCCCCAGTTGCGCTCCCTGGGTGCCAAGCAACAGCAAAGGCAAAAGTGAAGGCAAAAGCGAAGGCAACGCAAAAGCATAGCATAGCATATCATAGCGCAGGATAGCATAGCGCAGCATAGCATAGCATAGCATAGCATAGCATCGCCTAGCCGAGCCTAGCCTAGCCTAGCCCAGCATAGCACGGCTGTGTGTGTTTGTCTGTGCGCAGGCAAGGCAAAAGCAAAACCAAGAAACAACAACAACAACAGCAAACCAAACGCAACAGCAAAAGCAAAAGCAAAAGCAAAGACAAAGGCAAAAACAATGGCAAAAGAAAAAAACAAAGGTAATGCAAAGCAACAGCAAAACCAATGCGACAGTGTAGATGTAGATGCAGCTGTAGATGTAGGTGTAGACGTGGGTGTAGGTGTAGATGTAAATGTCGATGTAGATGTAGATGTAGATGTAGATGTAGGTGTAGATGTAGGTGTAGATGTAGATGTAGATGTGAGTCTCGCTGTTGATGAATCTGTAGATGTAGATGCAGGTGTAGATGTAGCTGTAGGTGTAGATGCAGATGTAGATGTAAGTCTAGATGTAGATGTTTGTGTCGATGTAGATGTAGGTGTAGATACATATATAGATGTAGATGTAAAGAACTCCCCAGTGCCCCGCCCTCCTCTCCGTGCCTGCTTGCTTTTGCTGCTGTCTCGGCGAATTGTTGCCTGCTTCTGCTGCTGCTTCACTTACGGCGTGGCGTCGGCGGTTCTGGCGCTACTACTACTACTACTACTACTACACTACTACTACTACTACTACTACTACTACTACTGCTACTACTACTACTACTACTACCACTACTACTACTACTACTACTACTACTACTACTACTACTACTACTACTACTACTACTACTACTACTACTACTACTACTACTACTACTACTACTACTACTACTACTACTACTACTACTACTACTACTACTACTACTACTACTGACTACTACTACTGCTACTACTACTACTACTACTACTACTGACTACTACTACTACTACTACTACTACTACTACTACTACTACTACTACTACTACTACTACTACTACTTTTACTACTACTACTACTACTACTACTACTACTACTACTACTACTACTACCGCTACTGCTACAACTACGGCGATGAAGAGAAGGAGGAGGACGGCGTTTACCGCTCCTACTAATGTTGCTTTCCTAGAGGCTCCAACTCCTAGGTAGGGTCGCGCTGGGATATTTTTTTTGGGGGGGGGAAGGGGGGGGGAATTGGACAACCAAAACAACATTATTCTTAGCCACGCACACAACTGTATGTATATATACATATGTAGATACACGTAAACAGTGTAGAAGCAACTACACTCATAGACTCAACACACTGATACATATATTTATTTATTCATAGATTTTTATATATATATATATACACATGGATCCGCAGGCAGGCATACATGGGACCAGCCCCCGACCCGGCATTCCTCATGACCCGCAAAGTGGTCGTGTAGGTAGTTCTTCCAACCACGCTGCGCATTGTCTGCGCATTTGCTTTCTAGCTCGCTTGATCTTTGTTGCCAGTGCGACGGCATTGACACTTGTTCTCGTGCTTTGACGCTCGACCAGTTGATTTGCTCGGGGCGCTCTTACACCCCAAACCATGATTTGACACAGCGGCCTACTAGGTAGGCTCTGCTTGCCCTCCCTGGTCCCGCAGGTCAGGCGTTTCCTCTTGTGGGTTCCTAGATTTTGTGGCGGCGTGGGCTCTGGGACCCTTTTGTAGTTTGTATGGTTTCTTGCATTTCGAATGTGATTGTGGTTCTGCTTCTGCTTTCCCTTGTGTGCGTTTGGTGGATTGACGAGCTTATCCGCGTTCACGGTGGCGCCCACAGAGGGACGGCAGAGGCGCCAGGAGAGTTTGAGACGCAGCAGCCGTTGGTTGACATTGCGGGCGGATCATGCGTTTGAAGGTGCGAGTTGTGGATCTACGCGTTGTGAATGTGATATTGGACGCTGGTTCTTCATGTGTGCGTCGAAGTGCTTGGCTCTTTCGGCGTCACCGGTTCGGAGCAGTTAAGAGCGGCAACTGTTGTTCTGGTGATCGTTTCTATTCAGTTCTTACCTCCACCACGACGAGGGCAGGAGGAGGAAGAGGAGAGCAGGAGGAGGAGGAGGGCAGGAAGACGAGGAGGAGGGCGAGGACGAGCCGGGCGAGGAGGAAAGGCAGGCCAGCAGGTTCCAGCGAGGGGCGGCGCCGTGGAGGACTTCCCCGAGAAGCTCGCGGACGGTTTCTTCTGGGTGACGGCCAGCGATTTCCACGAGCGCGCCCGCCGCGCTGCTCCCTCGGGGGCAACAAGGGGGTGGGATGGACATAGGGGGGAATGCCAGGACCCCAATCGCCCGGGGATCGCCGATAGGGGCTGCCCGATAGCTCCCATTCGACCAGGAGGTTGCGGATGCACGATCGGAGGCTTAGTGCCGATCTGTCGCCGATGCACCATTCCTCACCCCTATCGTGCCTGCCAGTCCCCCCCCGATCGTTGCGCCCCGCTCCCGAGGGGGCGGGCGGGTGCGGGTCTGGCGCTGGTCGGGAGCGTCGTGGATCCGAGGAGCAAGCGCAGTCGGACCGGTCGAAGATCGGGGTCGGCTCGGAGAGGGTGCCCTGATGCTCTTCGTGATCGTTCCTTACTCAGCGCTTGCAATGGAGGGGTCCTAGCCGAAATTGAAAGATTTGGCGAAAGTGTCCGGTTTCCCGGTGTCGGGTTCCCGTGTTCTTGGTTACTTGTTCCGGGCCGATTTTGATGGGTGCCGGGTTCCCGGGTTCCCGGTCGATCTTTCTATCGATCAAACCATTGATGTTGGGTAATTGGATTGTTTTGTTGTATTGGATTGGTTTATTTTGATTGAACCATTAATTGTTTTTATCTTTTGATTGGATTGTTGTTGTGTAATTGGATGTTTTTGTGCCTCTTGGGGGAGGGTGCGATCTTCAGGTTTGGGGTGTGTTGGCCAGCGGAGGGTCCAACGTTCTTGAAGGATCGTCTTGGGTCTCGGGTCCGACTGTACAGTCAACCCTGCAGGGGAAGGAGGGGCAACCTTCCCAACCCCTTAGGCGATGCTTAAGAAAACTTCAGTTTTCGGCCAGAGTCTCGATTATTCTTAATGTTTCAACGTAAGTCCTAAGATGTTAATAGAAATGTTGGGTTTTTTATTCAAGTTCTGAGACTATGAATTTCTTAACCCATGATTTCTTAAGCATTTCGCAGGGTGTACCCCTGCATCCTTGCCTCCTCGCTCCATCCCTGCCCACTCTCGGTGGCCGCGCCCCGCTCGGAAAGCCTCGAGGCGGCCTTCCAAGGGCCCTGGCGTCCTCACCGCGCACCCTTCGTAGGCGGACGGACCGTGTCTTGCTCGCGACGTGCTCCAGGAGTTCCCTGCACCGACGGCGCCGGGTGCGCGAGCCTGCCTCTGGCACACCCCGACGCTCTCCGCCCGTTCCGAGGGTCTGCTCTTTGGCGGCGCGCACAAGGGGGCCAGGGGAAGGGGGGAAGGCTTCTCGGAAACACCCTTGCTTCTCAGATGGCGCGGGCTTCGCTGTAGCGCCTTCGAAGACGCAGCCTCCTGAGAAGCCTGCCCCCCTCCCCCTGCCCCCCATCCGCGCGTCGCTAAGCCTTTCCTCCCTCTCGCCCTCCCCTGCCTCGGGGGGTGCGGGGGGGTGCGGGGGGGAGGGGGGCCGTG